CATGCACAGCTCTCTACTACGGTGTGTCCAACTGCACTACTATGAAAACCCAGCTGACACCGCACTATTACTGAACTGAAATGTAAGAAAGATAACTATTGGTTTGCATAGAGCCTAGTCAGTCTATCCCATAGACCAGACTATAGTTCAGAACAACTACACAGCCACAGCTCTGAACTCACCAAGAAGCCAAATGACCATGATAGCAAGTGATACAAATTTAAAACAAGGAAGTACTTTCTGTCAGCTGGAGGTGGCAAAAAAGAAGGGAGAGTATCAACTTCCTTGTCATCCAAATATCACTTCCCTGTATTTATCTGCTCAGCTACTAAGGAGACTGTTCCGAGTATACCATTTTTAACTGACTTTAAAATCATAAAGTGTTTAACAAGTAGGATGCGTAAATCCCATGCAGAGGAGTGAATTGGGTGTGTTTCACATTTAAAGATGCACATTTAAGCCTTATCTCAGTGGAATAAGCAGAAAGAAAAAAAATCTCTTTGGTATGGGTTGAATCACACTGTTTATCATTCTGACAATTAGGACATAGTATAAAAATATCTATACAGAATCCAAGCAATGAGTTATCAGCAGCAGAACTTCACTGTTCCAACACACAAAGAACAAAGAATACCCCTTATAACTTTCTTCATATGTATTTAATAAAGGTGCACATTAGTTAGAACATTAAACTCAAGTCAACAGTTCCTTAAAATATATGTCATGGCACTATTTCTAAACAGTAACTGGAGTAAACGATGAGCTCATAAAATAAAACTTAGAGCACCAGAATAAAACAAACATATTCTGGTGTTAACTTTCAGATCACTTCTCACACTAGGTATAATTAAAATACCCAGTAAACCTACAAGAACTTGGTACTGAAATAATACATATTGGTTACATATTCTGGTAAACATGAATCTTTTACCTTTAAACACAGACATAAAGATCCAGCCAGAATCTCCGTATTTAGCATAGCTCTGATATGCCATTTCAACTACTGTCTCTTGTTCCTAATGTAGGAACATAAAATGAATGCAATTGGAATATAAGAAGGTATTTCCCAGTGCTACTACCAGCCCCCATTAGATAGATTTAACATTAATCTTATATTTGTTGCTACTGGTATTCAAAAGATACAACTGCACTGTACAGTTTGTCAACAAATATTTGCTCCTCTAAATCTCTCAGAGTAAAATACCCATATACAGGTATTCTGATCAGCTCTTACAATAATTTATTGAACTGAATCATTAGCCTATAGCTTAGGAAAGGCTGAAAATATTAACAGAATTAATCACCACTAAATGGGAGCCAACACTGTCCAATACTTCAGAAGATCAGAGATCACTGGGGACTGCTTAGGTAAATAGTTATGAAACTGGAAAGCTTGTCTGTTAACTGAATCACCATATGGTGTTTTTGCCAACTCAACAGACGAGGGGATTTTTCTGTAAAAAGTTCTCCTCCAAGGTGAACTTATGTTTTCAGTGTCACCTGTGAATATTGTAGTGTTCAAGAGGATGTACAAACCACATCTTTTCCCCTTCAAGAACATCTTGCAAACAGCAGTAAATACTTTTCAAACTTCATTATAAAACCAGAACCATACACTTAACAGGAAATTATTATGGCAGTAAATTAGAGCCTTCCTATCTTCCTTGGAACATTATTTCAGATAAAGATAACACCCTGCAGGGGTGGGGAGCCACAAAAATACCACCCCACCCCCCAAAACAAACACACAAACGTCATCCTCTACTCACAATGGAATCTACAGCACTTGCTGTTTTTAAAGCAAAATTTGTAGTAACATTAACATAACCGAATAAAGAATTTAAACTAAAACCAGATGTTACTATTGGCTTCTTCAAAACAATGGAATTTTTCAAAGTTTTGTGATTCAGATTACATTAAAATGTAACACAATTCTGCTGTGTATCAGTATCTCTAGACTTTCTAAAATATGAGCTTAGAAATATGCAGTCAAGTCCTCTTACATTTCACCACAGGCTTCAGAATCATAACTAGTATTTAAGAACAACATAAAATTATTCATAAAACTTTTTTTCTAGTAGAAATGTGCTTTCTTTGCAGGATCAAATAATACAAAAACATACTGTTTCCCTTCCAGATTAACACGGTATTTTTCCTTCACAAACACGTTAAATTAAAAGGGAAACAGAGTGATGTAATTTAACAATAAGCATCTGCCCTTCCACTAGAAAATTTACATTTTTAAATGGTTAAAAACACCTATTACAGCGTATCTGGACAATAAAGTTGCATATACAAAACAGGACTACAAGCTGCAGTGTACTGAAACACACCCCCCATCCCCATTTTTCAAGGGTCATAGCTACATTTCTCATTCTTTCGAGAACATATACAAACTCCAAACTCAAAACAGCTCAATTTCATACTGTTTCCATAATCCAGCAATTACATCAGTATTAAAAAGACAATGGGGTCCATAAATATATTCCACAGCACTGCAGGAGTTCAACACTGAAAGCAAGCTATCTACAGCATCATCAGTGCAAATATTTCTGGAGCAAGACAAGTAGTACTCAACTCAGGACAGAAGTAAACACGAAAGGACAGGGTCACGTGTGGCATTACTGACACCAGACTGCATCTATTTCTTTTTGAAGAGCCACGTTCTTTTTGAGAAATTAACAAATCAAACAGCCAATGTAGAAATCAAAAGGTATTTCAACAAGAGCCTACCTTCTGCAGTTATTTCCTTCCTGACTAAACTAACAAAAATAGAAGAGTATTCACACTGAAATACAGTGGAAATCAGAAAGCTATAGATAAACAAGCATCAAATCTAGGTACTTTATCAGTGACTAAAACAAGCGTCTTGGCCACTTCTTTCCTCTCATAATTTCAGTAAGTTTTTAATCACCTTCTAATCTAATTTTCAGTATCTCCTGTCCATCTACTACTTCCCTTTAAATTCCTTCTTTAGGCCTCTTTTGCACAATTGACCCTACTAACATAACTCCACTGCTTACTCAATAGGTAGATACTGAAAACCTTCTCTCTGCCCTCATCAAGAAATAAATTGGGAAGCGAATTTAACAGCAAAATTTTAAGTACTATGTTAATTCTTTACTCCACGCAAAGCACTTTGTTCCATTGATGACAGCCACAGAAAAACCCCTACTGTAGTAATTAGCAGGTTTCTTTCCTAATGACTTCTCAGTGTTACCAAATCACAAATAATAAAAAGCAAAACTTCAAGAAGCGCAACATCAGTAACCCGCTACGATCATAATACTTCCCATTCAAAATCCAGTTCTAACCAAAGAACACTATAAAACTAACACTCCTTAATACACATCAACATTTAAATAGAAGAAAATGGTACAGACTTTTTCTTGCCTAAAAATGCAGAACCTCTCCTATGTTTTATGTCTCTGCCACTTCACATTTGTCATGTCCTGTATGAAAAATCCAACCATTTGTAATTTCATTCTTCCACTTTAAGTGCTACTCAGGTCTTTACTAAGTTCTCATTTCACTACGTCCTCAGGGAATTAAAATGGCAAAATATTAAACAGTAAGTGATAAATCTCAGTAATAATCAATGTTCTAGGAACTGTCATAAAATGCCAAATGAATTCTGAGAAACAGACTCAAATATTGAACAAAACATGAAATAATGACAAAACCACAAAACTTTTCCACTGAATGAAAGTGTTATGTCTTATTACACTGACTAAAACTGAAAACATGTAATTGCATACAGGAGTGCCAACTTTCTTTTTAACATAAGCTTAATTAAAAACCCACTGAAGATACAATGTTTTGTATCTGGGGAGCCTTAACACTTCAAAACCTAGAAAAACATTTTCAAATCAGTGATTAAAACATACCATTTGTAAATAAAAAATGCATTAGGATTTTGTGGTAGAAAAAATGCAAGAGAAGTGCCTTTTCCCTAAGTATCTCTTTTTACTTCATAAATCATTACCTGTCATCATGTAAAACAACGTTTATCTTTCAGGATGACAACAAAAAAACCCAAACGTCATGGTTTAACCTCCAGTCAGTAACCAAGCACCACAGCCGCTCACTCACCACCACACACACCACCCAGCAGGATGGGGGAAGAGAATCACAAAGGCAAAAAGTAAGACAGCTCGTGGACTGAGACACAAACCATTTCATGACAGAAATAATAAAGACAGCAATGATAATAATAATAACAAAATGTAATGAAAAGGTGAGCAACTAAGAGAGAGAAGCAAAACCCAGGAAAAAAAAATTATGCAACTGCTCACCACGCACTGACTGATGCCCAGTCAGTCCCCGAGCAGTGATCGCTGCTCCCCAAACAACTCCCTCTAGTTTTTATACTGAGCATGATGTCATACAGTACGGAATATCCATTTGGCCAGCCAGGGTCTGCTGTCCTGGCTCTGCTCCCTCCAACTTCTTGTGCATCTCCTCGCTGGCAGAGCATGGGAAGCTGTAAAGTCCATGACTTAGTGTAAGCACTGCTCAGCAACACCAAAACATCAGTGTGTTATCGCACTATTCTCATCCCAAATCCAAAACACAGCACTATACCAGCTACTAGGAAGAAAATTAACTCTAATCCCAGCTGAAACCAGGACAGTATCCACCCCTTATACTACATCATCTACATTGTGCCCAGGTCCCACGCTTTCCAATATATTCCAGTTAATCATCACCAGTGTTCCTGTTTTTTGATATATATGTATGTATACACACACACAGACATCATTCCTTTAATCTATGAACCATCCCTCTAAAATGCCCACTGAGTTCATTTTAGAGATAGATTGGTGGAGCCACACCCTGCCATCCCTGAGGCAAAGGCAGCAGATGGAGGCTCGACAAAAAGCACAGGAACCCCTACCCTCTCACTACCAGGCAGGAGAAGGAAGAGACTTAAGATGAGGGGGAATGGAAATAGGTCCCTGCTCGGGGTGGCAGGCGAATCCCCTCCTGGCCTCCCTCACCTTCCCGGTTGCCCTTACACAACAAGTATGGAGCTCTGGAACCCGAGGGCCAGGCAAGTGAGAATACGGAAGAAGGTTCATCCAGGGAGTCACCCAGGGAGAGTCGGTCAGCCCCACGCATTAAGACTTCCTCTGTTAAGAAGAGGAGGGTGATTGCTGTAGGTGATTCCATTCTGAAGGGAACCGAGGGCCCAGTGTGCTGGCCAGACCCATCCCACAGGGAAGTCTGCTGCCTCCCTGGGGCCCGCGTTAGAGGCATCACCAGGAAACTCCCTGGTCTGTTGTGGCCCTCAGATTATTACCTGCTACTGGTAATACCGGTTGGTAGTGACGAGGTTGCGGAGAGAAGTCTAAAAGTGATCAAAAGGGATTTCAGGACAGTGGGGCGGTTGGCTGTAGGATCAGGAATGCAGGCGGTGTTTTCTTCAATCCCATCAGTGGCAGAGAAAAATACGGAAAGGGACAGAAAAACACACCTGGTTAACATGTGTCTCAGAGGCTGGCGCAAACGGTGAAATTTTAGTTTCTTTGATCATGGGGAGGCTTACACAGCACCAGGCCCACTGTTGACAGATGGAGTCCAGGTTTCTCAAAGGGGGAAAAGGATTCTCTCTCATGAGTTGGCCAGGCTCGCTGAGAGGGCTTTAAGGTTTGAAGGTGGAAAGGAATAAAAGCAGGCTCACTAGAGATCAGCCTAGAAACAGAAGGCCAAATTTGGAAGCACAGTCAATAGCACACCTCAAGTGCATGTACACCAACGCACGCAGTATGGGCAACAAACAGGAGGAGCTGGAAGCCATGGTGCAGCAGGATAGCTGTGACGTAACTGCCATCACAGAAACATGGCGGGATGACTCTCATGACTGGAGTGCTGTAGTTGGTGGCTATAAGTTCTTCAGAAGGGAAAAGCATGGAAGGAATGGAGGTGGAATGGCCTTGTGTGTTAGGGAATGTTTCAATTGTGTAGAGCTCAACGACGGGGATGATAAGGTTGAGTGCTTGAGAGTAAGGATGAGTGGGAAGGCCAACAAGGCAGACATCCTGCTTACAGACCACCCAACCAGGATGAGGAGACACATAAACCATTCCACAAGCGGCCGGCACAAGTCTCACAATTGCTAACCCCTGTTCTCATGCGGGACTTCAACTTACCACACATCTGCTGGAAATACAACACAGCAGAGAGGAAAGAGTCTAGGAGGTTCCTGGAGTGTGTAGGGGATAACTTCCTGACACAGCTGGTGAGTGAACCTACTAGGGGAAGTGCTTCACTTGACCTGCTGTTAACAGAGAAGGACAGGTGGGAGATGTGGCAGCAGGAGGCCGTCTTGGGCTCAGTGACCATGAAATAATGGAGTTCTCAATTTTAGGTGAGGTAAGGAGGGCCGTCAGCACGACCACTACCATGGACTTCCGAAGGGCAGATTTTGGTCTGAACAGGACACTGGTTGAGAGAGTCCCTTGGGAAACTGTCCTGAAGGGCAAAGGGGTCCAGGAAGCCTGGCTGTCCTCCAAAAAGGAAGTCTTAAAGGGGCAGGAGCAGGCTGTCCCCATGTGCCCTAAGACAAACTGTCGGGGAAGATGACCGGCCTGGCTGAACAGGGACCTTTTGCTGGGACTCAGGAAGAAAAGGAGAGTTTACCACTCCTGGAAGAAGGGGCAGGCAATTCAAGAAAGGGATCCTGTGAGGTCATGCCGGGAGAAAATTAGAAAGGCAAAAGCCCAGCTAGAACTTAATCTGGCCACTGTTGTAAAAAACAACAAAGAATGTTTCTACAAATACATTAGCATCAAAAAGAGAGTCAAAGAGAATCTCTATCCCTTACTGGATGTGGGGGGAAACTTAGTGACAAAGGATGAGGAGAAGGCTGAGGTACTGAATGCAGCCTTTGCCTCTGTCTTTAATAGCCAGACCAGGTATCAGACCTCAGAGCTGGAAGACAGGGATGGAGAGCAGAATATACCACTCATAACCCAGGAGGAAGCCATTAACGACCTATTATGCCACCTGGGCACTCACAAGGCTATGGGGCTGGACAGCATTCATTTGAGGGTACTGAGGGAGTTGGCAAATTACCAGCAGTCCTGGTTAACAGAGGAGGTCCTGGAAGACTGGAGACTTGCCAACGTGATGCTCATCTACAAGAAGGGCCGGAAGGAGGATGCTGGAAACTACAGGCCTATCAGCCTGACCTTGGTACTGGGTAAGATTATGGAGCGTTTCATCCTGAATGAGCTCACGTGGCAGGTGCAAGACAACCAGGGGATCAGGCCCAGCCAGCATGGGTTCATGAAGGTCAGGTCTTGCTTCACCAACCTGATCTCCTTCTGTGACCGGGTGACCTCCCTAGCGGATGAGGGAAAGGCTGTGGATGTTGTCTACCTGGACTTTAGTAAAGCCTTTGACACAGTCTCACACAGCATTATCCTGAAGAAGCTGGCGGCTCATGGCTTAGACAGATGTACTCTTCACTGGGTTAAAAGCTGGCTGGAGGGCAGAGCACAGAGAGTTGTTGTAAAAGGAGTAAAGTCTGGTTGGTGGCCGGTCACAAGTGGTGTCCCCCAGGGCTCAGTTTTGGGCTGTTTAACATATTTATCAATGATCTGGATGAAGGGATTGAGTGCACCCTCAGTAAGTTCGCAGATGAAACTATATTGGGTGGAAGTGTTGATCTGCTGGAGGGTAGGAGAGCCCTGCAGAGGCACCTGGACAGGCTGGATCGATGTGCTGAGATCAGTTGTATGAGGTTCGACAGGGCCAAGTGCCAGGTCCTGCATTTAGGTCACAACAACCCCAGGCAGTGCTGCAGGCTTGGGGAAGAGTGGCTGGAAAGCTGTCAGGCAGAAAAGGACCTGGGGGTGTTGGTTGACAGCCAGCTGAATATGAGCCAGCAGTGTGCCCAGGTGGCCAAGGCCAACAGCATCCTGGCCTGTATGATGTATCCTCATGATGGCGGCTCTGCTTTTTCATCATTCCTCACTAAAGTTGACTTCCATTTCCAAGATTTCTTCTTGTGTACAGGAGGGAGTGATCCTGGCATGGGTTGGTGCCCCAGCTCAGCTGCAGTGCATGTCATGGGGTCTGGAGCAGCCACAGTGCCTGTCGGTTTGTTTCCTCCCTCTTCTCCCTGAGGGTGCTGCATAACACCAAGCACTGTTTGGTAGGTACTAGCCAGGGCCCAGCACAGTGCGGTTAACTTGTGCCTCTCTGGAATAATCACAACCTTTTTTTCCCAAGCATTCTATCACTTCATCAGCATCCTGTAGTTGTTCAGGAGTGAAGTTCCAGACCACTGGAAGTGAGAAGTTCTGTAACTATCTGCCCATACTCTCCCACATGCCGCACCCCCATGACTATCCAGCCTTGGGGCAGATCTCTGGGTGATATTTTTTTTTTTTTTAATAGATGTTTAACCCTGCACAAGACCTGAAAAACATTCAGGGGACATAGCAATAGGAGTATGCTGGCTTGAACATCCCAAGGATATTCAAAATTCTCAAGTACTAGTGTAACTAACCTGAAGGAAAAAGGGAAGGTGAAAAAGCAGGGAGAGCATGTAATAAAATTTATTTTCAACTCTGAAAGTTACAGTGGACTTTGATCGTAGTTGTTAAAAACTTAGTTCTTGTATTAGATTATATATATGCAGTAGCCAACTCAAGTGAGATGTGCCCAGCATTAATACTTAGACATTATGCATTAGGCTGCAAATATTCATTTGATATCAACCTGTTATAATTAAAAATGCACTCCTGGTAGTAAAAGTAAAGTTTATTTTTGTTATTATATATAAACAATCTAAATTTTTTATGCCTCTCAAGAATACATAGTAGCACAGACCCATAAAAAACAGCTGAATCTCTAGCATTCCACAAGCCACATCACACACACAACAAATATATAATCCAGGCGATCCCTAGTCAGAAGATAGCAATTTTTAAATAATTCAATACTCTCTAAACTGCTATGGTCCTCAGCATCCATTTTCATGGTTGTCATCATCATTAGTTTCATTTGTTCTACCTGCATTTTAAAATCATGCCAAGATATGACATACTAATACCTTAATAACCATATTTTAAACTAAACCTGTATGAAGTGTTTTGACTGATACAGAACTTTGTTGCTCATGAGTATTGCAAACATCTCACATCAAGGATTCCAAATTCAACAATAAACTATAATGGTAATTAAAATGTTTTTCACCATGCCGCAAAATAGTTTTCCTCCTTTCAACAAACTGGATAGATTACACACTACACTTACCATCCCACCTGCATAGCCATCTCTTTTCTGAATCCATGTATCTTAGAAACAATTCTATCCATTTTTACAACTGTGATGCGCAAACTAGTAACATTTTTGCAGTACTACAGATGTAATAGGTAAATAACTCAAATGGAAACAAATTGATTCCTAGGAACTACAGCAGAATTCTGAATAGCAATAAAAATGGGTCACAACTAGTACATAAATACTGAGGTAAAATCAGGCATATAAAATCATGGAGAAAATACTGAATAAAGGTGTTTTTCTCAAGATGTAACTTAAAGACAGCCTTCTCATTTTTAACTTTATGTAACTGGTACTTCATTGTGAACTTGCCACACTCACTATTTACTCTTCTATTTTCCTCATAAAATAGAGGTTAATACTAAACAGAAGGCTAAAATCAATGCTGTTGAAGCAACTGGATTAACTGTAACTCTAAAGAGATAAAAGATTAGGAATATAATAACATAAGAAATCTAAACAAACTAAAACTGAAGCAAGTACATAGTTACGAACTTCTAGCCCATAAAGATAAAAAGAACGTGTTTTCAGGAAAAAGCAGAATCTTATGGGAAAAAAATTGCTTAATATTTTAGGGTGCCAATTCCTGGTATATCTTAGTATTTTATTAAGTTGTGGCAGAGATTATTTCATTTAGTGGCAGAGAATATTGAAAGATTAAGGATCCAACCTCAAGCAAAGCCTCAAACCCTTTACTTATGACAGGAATACACACATTTTTGTTTATATTTTTTAAGTAACCTCATCAGCTCTCTACAAAATAAAGTAACATCTCAATAACGTCACT